CTAAATCAGACCAGGGCCCGGACAAAGGCTCTGCCGGAAAGCCTCTGGAGTTGGACTAGCAGAGGCTGCTGAGCTCTCTGGAGTGGGTGGGTGATGGAGCCCTTCCGGATCTGGAAGGAACAGTGTCCTCTGCTTTATCACCTCCGTTCTCCAACCAAAGCTATCTGATCATAGTCCTCCAGCAAACCTGGAGGCTGATTCCTTATCCCCGGGCTAACCCTTGACAGGCACACGAAACCTTTTTTCCTGAACCAGCTGTGACAAAGCAAAGGCGAAGCAGCTTTCATATTTGCCATCTCCGAACTGACTGAAGACATACCCTTCTTTCTGGACCTTATGCCAGCTGCGTCTGTCATTGGTGCTTTTGCAAGGCCTAATCCAGGCGGTGGTTGCTGGAAGATGCCTGGTATCCTTAATGAGCAAACATGCTGAGCGAGTGCACAGGCATGCACATCCATGTGAAAGCGCCATGTAGTACACAGCCTGTCATTTCACATGCCAGCGAGGCTGTTTTGGTAACTGCAGATTTTAGGGCAATTATATTTTCCTTTTAAGAAAACATCGCCGTGGTTTTTATAAAGTCTGCAACCCTTGGGTGATGTTTTGGTTTTCTTTTTTCATCTGCAAAATACTGTAACTTGCCTCCCTGTCTCTTACAAGCTGTTCTAGACCTTTATCAGGGTGTCTGTTCTTCTCTGACAGTGAACAACAGCTATTTATATATGACGGCTGCATCAAACTTGTTTCTTGGTGTGGGGAAAGAGGCCTCCAATTCTAACCACAGACTTCCTGGGCAAGTTCTTCCTCATCAGTCCCACCAACAAGCTCCATCATGTCATTTCACGGTCCCTTTTCATTTCAACAAGGTTGACACTGGAAAGAACTCCTATTTATCATGGTACCGTTGTTTGGCATAATTTTCAACATTCACGGAAGACAATTATGGAGTGCTTCAGTTGGAAGGGACTGCCCCCCGTGGCTGAATAATTCCCACCGAGTGCCTCCCGTCGTCTACGGTTTGAACAGCAAGGCCCAGTCACCCTTAATGAATGAGAGAGAAAGACTGCCAGGTTTTGCGGCAAAGTTCCCGATGTACATACAGGCTCCTCTTGCAGCACTGGCACTCCAGAGAAAAGATGGGTTGAGCAGTTCTGCCGAGAAACGAAATGTTACTTAACTATGTACTATAACCACAAAAACAGGAAAGCTGTGTGTGTGTGTGTCTGTGTGCCTGAGTGTGTGTGTGTGTGCAGCTGGAGGCTTTTTCCCATAACTCTACTCTCGCGCTATTGTGACAGTCAGATTCTCAAGAATTATAAAAAAAGTGGAAGAGAGAAAGTCACTTGATGGGTGAGCCAGACTTCGAAGCAAGCATTCCAGTCCCTGAGAGTCCGTTATGGTGTCACACTAGCCAGGGCCAGGCACATCTTTGCTGTGCTACTAGTTGCTTGAGGCATGTAGGAGTTTGTGGCTGACAGAACATAGGGACCTGCCACACACAGACTCCTTGATACATCTTGTTTAGTCTGGCCCACAGGCACTCTCTAGGGCTTTGAGTATGGAGAGCCACTTCACATCATTGACTGCCTTCTCCTTTCGAGGTCAGAGATTGCACCGAGGGCTTTCTGCATGGAAAGCAGGGACTTTGTCACTAAGCCACGACCCCTTCCTGCAGGAGACAATCCAAAGGCTTCCTTTCCTGCCATTCTGCCTGGGGAGGAGATGGTTAATTTGCCCTCTGCCTGTGTCCCCTGCTCACAAGGGGCTGCTCCTGCTGTGAGCGAAGCCAAGCCGCCCTTCCATCCTTTCCCATTTCAAAATACAGGCCCTCGTTAAACATTAGCTGCTGCTTGGGGCTACAACCCTAGTTGCATGAAGGCAGGGTAGCTGTCCGCTGTCCTCTCTTTGGTCTCCCAAAGGCCAGCAGATCCGCACAAACTGCTTTTC